AGAGATAGAAGTTAACGTGCTATTCAGTAATAGCAACTCTTAAATGTAAATGTGCTTTGACTACTACTAGAAGGCAGAGGTTTTCTCCCTGCGCAGAGGACAAAACTCGGGGGCACTTGACTACATGTGGGCACAGTTTGGATAGAGCCTGTTGAAATCCTGGGCATTTTTCCATCAGCTTCCTTAGGCTTTGGAGCAGACCACAAATGGTTCCTGTGACACAGGAGAATTTGGAGTGTTAGTCGCATTTGGGCCTCTGCCTCTCCTGTGCATGCAGATGAAACTGTAGCAGGATTAACATTTTTGATTTTGAGCAGTGACTTGTGATGTAACACCTGATCGAGTGGGAATTAGGCATTGTGCATTTTCCTAGGATTTTTATATCAGCCATCCATTCTTCATGCCTGCCACAGGGCTTCTGGAGACTGTGCACATTATCCATAATTTAAGTGAACTAAAGTGAGAGTGCTTCTCTCCTTCAGTACAAATGCTTGTATCTGTATTGAAAGAAACTTGACACAGATCTGAGCCCAGTTCCTTTTGTCTTCAAAACATGTGGCTACAATTGTTTAGGAATGTGCATTGTTTTGTTATTTGCTCCTTCTTCCTTCAGCCCTTTAGCTGTGTGCTCCACACGCAGAATTTGTTGTGCCAAGTGCTGTTTTCTGTGATCAGTGTCTGGCTGACATGGAAATATAAAGTCAAATATTGACAAAGGTGCCCTGTGTGTATGATAGAAAATCTCTGACTTCCATGTGCATACTATGCCTTGTGCTGGTGTGGAGCTGAGGCTCTGCCTTGGATTTCTGGTTGAACAGCAAGTTTGTCCTTTATTTCTCATAAAAATAATCTTTGTTAACTTAGAACTCAGGTTCACGCAGAGCAGTACATGTGCAGAGAGCCCTGCAGAAAACATCCCATTATTCTTGAAAGAACTCAGCTAGAAAAAAACCCAACACCTAAGGCCCAGCAGTGTGGAGAAGAGTCAGACCCCACACACCCACTGCCATGCCCCTCCTGAGCCCATGGAGCTGGGGGATGCAAAGAGATGTAGATCAGGGCCTGCTCAATCTTCATGTTCTGCACAAAAGCTCTAATCCCGTCTTTTCCGCACCTTCAGTTCCTCCAAGATTCGTGGTCCTATGCAGAATGCAAAAAATGATTGATAGAAACAACACAAAATCACAATTCCATGTGATTTAATGCAAGTCACTGCCAAAGAAACCCAAGCAAGGGTTTCTGCATCCTACGAGGAATTAGATGGCACAAAGGAAGCTTGCATTTGCTTCAGGAGGCCCGTTGTTTCAGAAGCTTGAGCTCAATCATGGGTCCATCTCAAACTGTAGACCTTCTAAGTCTCTTCTCTCTTTTGTGAAGCAACAAGCTGCCCGGGGACAAGACGTGAGCGGAAAGTTTATTGGCCTGTGCAAAGGGTGAGAAGCAGCAAAGGGAAGAAAGCATGGGTTGATGCCCTGAGACCACCACGCACAGCTTGCCCAGTAAATAGCCCCAAGGGACAAAGTGGTCGTCACCTTTGAATGTAATGACCTGACAGTTTTGCCACTTTTAAATATCTCTTTTTACATTTCATTCAGTCAGCTTTAAATGTTTGCTCTCCGGTGGCACAGATCGGGGCTGTAGCCTCAGGAAAAGGAGTCTGGGAGGCAGGCAGTGCTACTTTGCCTCACCATCTCTGAAGGGAGGCATCTGCGAGGAGGGCAGGAGCCTGGACCACAGGAGATGCAGGTACAGGTCTCTGCCTCCCCGTGTGCAGTGGGTGAGCTGCCGGCGCTGTGCCTGCCTGCCATCAGAGAAGCGCCAAAATAATAACAGGGATGAAAGCATTACAGCCCGGGGAGGCAGTTTGTAGATGCTGGGGGCTGGTAAACCAATAGTTAGTCCTTAAGTAAGACTTTGTAGACTGAAAGCGGGTCTGGCCGTGGGGGAAGCAGGCGGTGTGCAGGCAGCCAGCCGAAATTACAGCCGAAATTACAGGGAGGCTGCCCTGGCCCCTCACACCGCAGAGCAAGCGGAGGCTGCGCTGCCTCGGCAGCTTGGCTCCTTTAGCCCTGCCATCCCTAAACAACGGAGGGGAGTTTCGGGTGGTGCTAATTTTAATAAAGTGGTTTTGGGAATGTTTTGCCTCTCTGGAGCTTTCATAACATATCCTAATGGAGGCTTTTGGCAGGAACAGTAAAGCAAATTGCTCCCACCCTCTCTCAGCGTGTGGGGAGCAGCGTGGGTCCCAGCGGGCACGGGACCTGGATGCGGCTGGGCACCTGGGGAGCTGGGAATGCCCTTGGGAAACACCCCGGCTCCGTGTCCAGCCGGGAAGTGCCAGCCCCTGCCCTCCCACACTCCCCTTGCCCACGGTCTCTGCCAACTCCTGCGGTTCTCGGGAGCTGCTCATGTTTGAGGGGGAACGTTCTGTCACTGGGGTTACACATCCTCGCACCACGGCTGCCTCCAAGCCTTTATTTCCTTTGCTTTTGAGGGCTTGCACCAGACTTTCAGGCACTATTGAACAGAGACATTTGTGTTTATCTGCTTACCCGGGAAGGGAAAGGTAAGCAATTTTTATGCTTTAAATGCCTCTCATATCTCCCCAAGGGCATTTAGTTATCTCATTCCTTAGCTGTAGGTACACTTGTAGTGGGTGTTAAGTCAGTTTCCTCCAGCTTTATCAGCAAAGCAATCTGGAGCCCAGCTGAGTTCATAGTGCAATAGGCAGTGATTTCCCTTACAACAGGGAACGTCAGGACTTCACACCGCGGCCTTTCCCGCATTGTTATAATTAAAGAAAAAGTTTATGATGGCTTCGTTTACAGCAAATCCCTCTTTCAGGTGCGGGTGCCTGTGTTCAGGTGATGATGATGATGGGTTGGAGGTGTGAAAAGCAGGCCCAACATTTCCCACTTGTGGTGGCAGCAGGAATGACAGCAGAGCAGTCTGGGCCCCCACATCCGTACAGTCAGGGCTGCAGTCAGAGCAAAGTGGTGGTTCTTGGTGGCTCCGAGGATGGCAGGAGCCATCTCTCCTGCCCTCCCCTTCCTTTCACCCCAGGGACTGGCACAGGAGGAGAGGAGAAGAAAATGGGGTCCTGTCTAAGAAAGTTTTGGTGACGCCAACCCCACTGCAGTTATTCTGGGAATCTGAGTGAAATGAGACGTGTGCTAGTTCTTTCTTGCTTGTGACACAGCATATGACTCATGTCCTTTTTACCAAAGTCTGGGGAAGTGTGTGCAGGGGGGAGGAGGTGCAGGATGGGAAGGGCATGAAACGTAGGAAGGCTTATCTCAGTCTCCCTGGAGTTCTGTGCAGGATGAACAAGCCATACAAGTCCAGTGCCTTTTTCTGATACGTACCAAGGGCTGTTGGGAGGAAAAGTCATTGCCAGACCTCCAGGTGCCAGTGTGTGTTTTGTGCTGGGCAATCTTGGCATTAAGCGCTACCGTTCTGCCAGCTGCTGATCAGGATTGTGATCAAAGCAGCAAACGAGGGTGATGGCTGTAGGGAATTGGAACTGGGAGTTGGGAGAGGATGGAGATGTGCTGGTGAGACTGGGAGACGGGCTGTGTAGCACCCAGCTGGGAGCCAGGACAAGAGAAAGGCTGGGTTTTAGAGTGGGCCCAGCTGGTAGCCAGCAAGGATTGCAACATGCCACTAGAGGATTTGGAATGCTTTGCACAAGAAGAGCCTGCAAGGCCAGGGCAACACAATCCAGCTGCAGTTCAGGGACAGAGGTGTAGCTGAGGGTATGTCATGGCCCCTCTGGAGAGGCCAGGATGGTAAGCTGTGCCCTCTTTACCTTCAGAGCTACCTTCAGCAGGGACAGTGAGCTGGGCAGGCTGGGACAGACAGCTTTTACTGCAGTGCATGGCTTGGCTGAGTATCGCTCTGTGGCAGATACAGCTCCCATCTGGGATGCCATGTGTTTTCTGGTCAAGGGTACATCAGGGATAGGGATGGGGGAGCTGGGGGAATCCGGGTTGACTCACTTGAAACATTAAAGTCCACGGGGACAGTGTTAGGATCTGTGTAACGTCCCAACCCCAGGGGTTCAGTAAGAAATAGCTGTTAACTTCAAAGGGCACCAGATAACTGCAGTAAGATTTCTTTTAGATGCAACATGTTTGGAGACAGCAACAACATGCATCCTTACGAGGACTCCCTCACCTGCCCAAATAGTGTTTAAGGCTGGGTCAACTATTACTTCTTGAATGCTTTACTGGCACCTGACCTTATGCTAGCGCGGTTGTAGCCTGGAGTTAGAGTTGTTGTTCTATAGCATAGCTCAAGGCACTTGTTTCGGAGCTAAGGACCTATTGTCACACTACTCTGTGTCAGTGATCCCAGTAGTGGGTTATTCACCTGTGGATTAGAAGTGATACAGCTTGGTGCTTCTACTTCTCCTGCACCAAGGGTTCTTACTCTTCTTTTTCTGGAGCTTCCCTCTGTGTGAAGACAACTCCTCCATCCCCCAGAGCTAGCTACCTGGCCACTTAAATATGTGCCCACCGGGGTAGTCATACATTGTTTTTAATAGAGTATTTAGTGTAGAAGGAACTTTCGGCCTCTCTGTAACTCTGCTGAGAGTCCTGAGGTAGACTGCTTAAACACGAGAGGTTAGTCTTACAATTTCTTTTTGAAAGGTATTTTTAGATTTACTGCAGAAAATTTGCAAGATTATGGACAGGTATCTAATTATTGACCATCAAAGCGCCCTATTTTGCAACATCAAAGGAATTCACAAGAAAATTTTAGCTTTTTCTGTGTGCATGTGTCTGTGTGTACGTGTATGTCACTGTCTTCATTCAGCTGGAGTGGAAGTGTATATGAAGGGGAAAAAAAAGCCCTATATCTAGGTAAGATATAGCAACAAGAATTGAGAGCGATGTAATTCCCCTGCTTTCTCTACCGGCATGAGAAGTACACAGCAGAAGCCTATGGAAGATGATGACGACAATAATGTATTATTTCTTTGATTTATATTTCCCCAGGAAATGCTCCAAAGATGTATCAGCTCCACAAACAGTTTGCAGAAGCGGTGAAGGGGAAGCATTGGTCCACGGGATTGGAGGCAATTGTTGTGGTCAGTATTGGTTGTGCAACGTTACTAGTGAAGTTTCACCAGGACTGGTCCATTGTGAGCCTGCGAGTACAGCTGAGGGGTTTGCAGCAGGATATTTACAAATTAATATCCTGTTTATAAAAACCGTTGTAAACAATCGAAGGCCATTGCCCAAAGGCTCCAATGTTATTTAGATCTGCGTAAAAGACAATTCCAGCATTTGCAATGCAGTGGGCAGCTCTGATGGTATGTGACATGGTAATCAAAGCTGTCCCACTGCAATCAAATGCACGCAGCGGCGCGTTGCATAAGAAAGCTCCAGGAGAGCGGGGAAAGAGACTTGCACAGAGACATCTTTTTTTGTTTTTTTTTCCATTTAGTTAACCTATGCACCCTTTAAAGTGGTTGGTTTGGAAAGATGGGTAATGAGCTTTGCATACAGCAGATCCTTCCCGGAAATCTCCCTCCTGCTTCACCCAGGGGAAGGTTACAAGAACGGAACGGGGGGAAAGGTTGAGAAGCAGGGATGGAGACAGCAGAGGGGGGCACGTTCTGCATGGGCTCACACATGGGGCACATTTCCCCTAAACCAGGCCCTCTCCTGTGCCGGGTCTGTGGCCCCTGCTGTGGGAGATACCGGGCTGTGTGTGGCTGCTCCGGGCAGGGGAGGTTAATCCGGGCGTGGAGCTGGATCGCAGGGTGTTATGTATGAAGGAGTGACCTCTGCTGTAGGCATGCTGCAAGTCAGTGACCAGAGGTGTCTCATCTCAGCATCCCATGGGCAGCCTCTGTTCAGACTCTTACAAATGCATAGTTTTCGGGGATGCCTATTTTCTTTGAAAGCCGTGTAGAGAGACTGTTGTTATTGAGGGGTTTGACTAGATTCAGAGACCTAACTTGTCTTCAGCAGCTTTGGCTGATTGACCCTTATCCATAGTCCTTTATTTCATGTATGAAGGACAAAGACCCCAGCTGCAGGAGCACTGATCCAAGAACTGCCAGCCCTAGCTTAGTGCTGCTCTTAATGTAATAACCAACACCGATATAATTAAGCCCAGCCCTGTCCTTTGTCCTGTCCCACTTGATTTACTGGGAGCATGAGCTCCCAGGGTCATAAAGGAAATCTCCTGCATCTCTTAAATAACATGAAGCTGCGGGAAGGAGGATGAGGGGGTGGATGTGTAGCTGCCACACAGAGGTGTTATCCATGGAAGTGTCACGGTCAGCTGACTGGCTGCTGCCACCTCTCCCCAGGGACATCCAGGTGCAGGTTCCTCTTAGAATCATAGAATGGTTTGGGTTGGAAGGGACCTCAAAGATCATCTAGTCCCAACCCCCCTGCCATGGGCAGGGACACCTCCCACTAGAGCAGGTTGCTCAAGGCCACATCCAGCCTCTTCTTGTCCCATCTCCCATCCATGCAGCAGGTGACCAGCACCCTCCCTGCCCACGGGTGGAGAGGTAGGGATGAGTTACTGGGGCCTTTGCCTCCCCTTGGCCCTCGAGCAGGCTCACAACTCCTTGCTGAGAGAGCAGAGAAACATGCAGGGTCCAAACGCATTCCTGAGATGGGCTGGGAACCAACCAGCTCCAACCACAAAACCGGGGTCTTTCTCCACTCCCAGGGGCTGACAGCACCCAGACCTGCCTAAGTGAGAGGAAAAACCAATGTTTCCACCTGTTCTGGAGCTCTGTCCCCCTTCTCAGCCCCACAGAGGCCTACAGTCTTTCCCTGGGGCTCCCCATTGGTACCCAGTCTGTAGTAAACTGGCTAATCCTTGTCTTCAGTCTGTGACCTAGCAACAGTGTCCAGGGAGGTTTGGATACCTGAGGTGGTGTTCAGACCATGGATGGGGAGGAGAAGGTGACTAGAAGATGATTTCACATAGTCTGGGTCATCCCCAAACCAAACCCCAGAGGTTTCCGCGTACCGGGTGACTCACGGGTGGCTCTCGGGAGCTGGTGGGACTCAATTCACTGGAGATCAAAGAATAGGGAGTTTTATAGCAGGCAGGGCCCAGGACAGGGAGAGCACCGAATGGGAACATCTAGGGGAGTGTTGCAACCCCAAAGTATTCCTGATCGGCTTCTCTCCCTTCCAGCTGCATCTCAGGAGGCGGAGAGCAGGACACGAGCAGCCTGGCTCCAAGCTGATGTGAGCAGGAGGGAGTGCCTGGCTATTATTTTTTTTGGCTGCAGTTGTAGGAAAGCTTCACTGTGGACCGCAGCGTCCTAGTTTGAAATGTGACTGTGGTGATGAGTTGGGCTCCCGTGTTTATGGGTTCCCTGGGGCAGGCTGTCTCATTGCCTCTGCATGACAACAGCCAGCACAATAAAGGCCTGATCCTGACAGCCTTTTTTTTTTTTTTTTTTTTTTCTGGTCACTTCAGTAATAGTAATGATTAAGAGTAATTATCAGGACAGTAATGGGAGTGCCTCATAATGCTAGTGGACGGGGGAATTCCACTAAGTGCCTCTGCTCCCATGCCTAGCACTGGTTACCAAGCCAAACAAATACACCAGAGACCCGGGCTTCTTTCCTAGATTTGGTTTCTGGAGCGTGTGCTGGCTAAGCTGGTTTCAGGTGAATGGCTGTTTACTCCATCATCCCCTAATGACACATTCCTCCGTTCCTCGTGCGGAGGGTGCCCCAGCTCCCCGTGCGCAGGTGACAGTCACTGCTGAGGTGCAGCCAAAATGGGTGAAGTCCCGGTGGCAGCGCAGGGCCTGGAGCACGAGGTGAGTCACAGCTTGGGGCTGCTCCTTCCCATTCAGCAGGACAAGCACAGGAGCTCCGAGGCTGGGAAGCAGCCCCCAAGTCAGCCTTTTCTCTGCCCTTGCCTTGCTTTTATCTCCTCACCCGCTGCCTCAATGACAGGGGAGAAATACACTTGCCAGAGGGATTGAAGCCACCATAGCTGAGGCTTGTGTGGTGGCCAAGGTTCCCAAAAGGAGCAGAGGAGAGGCAGATGTGCATCATGTGCCTGCATCACGTATGGGTTAGGCTTTAGCTCCTGCCCGAGGCAGGTCTTCCCTTCCCCAGACAGTGGCACTCCTATACAGAGTTGTCTTCCCCAGCTGCCCAGATGGGAGGCAGAGGAGAAGGATGGAAGGCAGAGGAGAAGGATGGTGGCGGTGTTGGAGAGCCCGTAGCGGGGACTGGCTGCCGGGGTGAAAGCCCAACAGGAGCGATGGAAGGCAGAGGAGAAGGATGGGAGGTGGCGTTGGAGAGCCCGTAGCGGGGACTGACTGCCAGGGTGAAAGCCCAACAGGAGCCGGTGAGTGCCCGGTGAGTCACACCAATCCCCACGCTGGTGGTTCTGGCTGTCACTTCACAGGGATGTCGCTCTCACGACAGAGCTGTGGAGTGGCTGTGCCACACGGTCAGCCAGGAACACACTTTCACCCAGTGATTTTGGTTATACCTACCACTGGTCAGGGGTCTGAGTGCTGTGCCCGCGAGTACGCGTGGTGAGCCATCAGAGAGGGCAGTCTCCGGATTTACATGTGTTCTCTCTCACAGTGGTTAACTCTCATCTTCCTGGAGAATGAAAAATACTGGTGAAGAGATGACTTCATGAACGGGAAAGAGGTGCTGATGGACAGAAGAGCACACACTGATGGGTAAGGGGCTGGTGTTCTTCTGCCAGCTTCCTCGCAACCTGCTACATGCTGTGGGGAAAACCACTTTTCTTTTCACCTTGGTCCTTCTCGTATGCTTAACAAATCAGTGGAGGCAAGGAGAAACAATTAGTAGATGGGCAGGGATGTGAGAGGGCCTTGGTTTGATAACACCCCTTAAAAGGGTACAAATAAAATGCTTCCCCAGGTTTAGCAGCAAGTAAAGGCAGAAGCCATGAAAAGACTCCACAAATGAGAAAAGCTACAAACCCCTTGGAGGCTAAGAAATCACTGAGCATGGAGCACTGAGCTGTAATTAGGAAAGGGAAAACACCAGCTGAGTGTTATGAAGTTCTTCCTGCCAGTGAGATGTGTTGAGCCATTCAGGAGTTGCCCAGGGGAGAGTAGTGGAAATGTCATACAAGCCAGAAGAATAAAGCTTTAAAAACTGCCCTGTAGGGAGCAATCCGGCATGGACTGGCACATCTCTCTGCCTTTCCATCTCCATCTTCTGAAGCACGTTGAGATGGATGGGAATTAGCTGTTTGGAAGGGTTTTTTCTTTCTTTTTATAAATTGCTAGTTAATGCTGACCTCAGAAGTTGGCTAAGAAATCAGCGAATTTGGGGGTTTGTTGGGTTTTTTTTAAAACAGCAAAACATCTGTGTTGTCCAGTAGCTTTGACCTCACCCTGCATTTACAGGAAGAGGCATCAGCCACTTTCAGGCTTGGGGGCAGCGTTTTGAACTCTCATAGTTTATAGGAAAGCCTGGTTGTTTAAGAACATTTGACCTAATTCATCCCTCACATACATGGCAGATGTAAAACTGACCTTTAGATGGAGTAAGTTTGGCTCAAGGTTTTTCCTTACTCCGTTTCCTCCAGACTATCTCACCTATGTATTCCACTTAAATGTATTCCCTTCTTAGGGCATTTGTGCTCATATGTGAGCCCTGTTCTTTTTACCACTTATGATTTTCATATTCAATATTAATTTTCTGTAGTCAAAATGCAGATGCTGTCAAGTGAGCTGTACTCCAATTAGCCGTCTGACCTTTGGAGAGTATTTCTTGAGGATCTCTCATGCTGTGCTAAGAAAGGTTTCTGTATACATAAATTTGTCTTACGTACTTATGTATGCACTCGTGCTGTTTTCAGAAATGCTGTCCCATTTTCCCAAGAATTTATGAAAATGCTGCGTTTTGTAACAGTGCCAAGTGCTTCAGTGCAAGGCTGGGAATGATTTTCTTCCAGTTTCAAAAATGCTTACTAACAAAATATTTTGATTTTGCAAACAGGTCTTATTCTCAACAGACGAAACCAATGCAGATGTAGCCCCACAACAGCATTGCTTAAAACTGAGTGCAAGTTCTACAGAAAGCTGCTGAAGTAAGTAGTGTAGTCACTTGCCATGTATGGTTTTAGTTACGTAAAAACACATATATAAAGTGGTAATTCATTGCTATGAGCACATGTGTTCTTCTACAGCAAATCACCCTGAGGAAAAGTATTTTCAAGCACAGAAAAATGTACATTTCACCTGTATTTTTGCCTCTCTAAGTTGGAAAGGGTATGTTGTTCATAGAAAGTCCTGTGTCATCAGTGACACATAAGCTAACAGACAAAGCTCAATCCTTACCCTTGAAATAGTCACTGCTGTGAATCTGCTGCTCTGTCTGAACAAAGAGAGAGATGAATGCCTGTGACATCGAAAGAGGATTAAGCATAACATGGGCTTCATCACAGGATGGTTCGGGTTGGGAGGGACCTTAATGTCCCCCCAGTGCCACCCCCTGCCCTGGGCATAGGATGGTTCGGGTTGGGAGGGACCTTAAAGCCCCCCCAGTGCCGCCCCCTGCCCTGGGCAGGGACACCTCCCACCACACCAGGTTGCTCCAAGCCCCCTCCAACCTGCCCTTGAACCCCTCCAGGGATGGGGCAGCCACAGCTTCTCTGGGCAACCTGGGCCAGGTTCTCACCACCCTCACACCAAAGAAGTTCTTCCCAATATCTCAGCTCCATCTCCCCTCTTTCTGTGTCAAACCATTAGCCCTGGTCCTATCCATCCATGCCCTTGTAAAAAGTCCCTCTCCAGCTTTCCTATAGGCTGCTTTTAGGTACTGGAAGGCTCCTCTGTCACTTGGAGAAGGACATTATCATCAGTGCATTCCAGGAACCTCCTGGATTGCTTATACTGCACTGTGTTGTCCCTCTAACAGATACCAGGGTGGTTGAAGTCCCCCATGAGGCCCAGGGTTTATGAAACTGAAGCTGTTCCTGTCTATCTATAGAGGGCCTCATCTACCTGATCTTCCTGGTTGGATGGCCTGTAGCAGACCCCCACCATAGTGTCACCTCTCCTTGCCCTCCATTTAATCCTGACCCATAAGCTCTGGGTCGGCTCCTCATCCATCCCCAGGTGGAGCTCCATGCACTCCTGCTGGTCACTGACCCAGAGGGCAACACCCCCTCCTCGTGTCCCTGCCTGTCCTTTCTAAAGAGCCTGTCTCCTTCCCGTCCCACACCCCACCATCCCATGAGCTCAGCTCGAGTTCAGCCTGTGGACTTAGTAAATTGCAGGCTTTTTTAAAAAGATTGTGACGAAGCCATTGCGAGGTAATAAAAGCAAGGCTATGAGCTCAGCTCGAGTTGAGCCTGTGGACTTAGTAAATTGCAGGGTTTTTAAAAAAAGATTGTGATGAAGCCATTGCGAGGTAATAAAAGCAAGGCTTTTGCACAAGTTCTTAAGGTATTTCCTCCTATACTCGTTACACTTTGTAAAGAAGAAGATCCCGAGATGTCAGAGCATCCGGGGGGCTCCTCGCTGCTCCCATGCCAGGTGCCATAAATCCATCAGTGACTTGACTTGGGCGTGCCCCTTCCCTGCAGCAGCAATTGAGGCCACCAGCCGAGATGTGCCCGTGATGCTGTGTTGCCCAACGGGTGCTGCCTCTCGGCGTTGCGCAGACGGGCTGCTCCCCGCGCCGCTCCGTGGGATGCCCTGCGTCTGGAGCCAACCCATGGGTGCTCCGGGGTGAACAGCCTCCGGGAGAACTGGCCTCCTGGAGGTGTGTATCAGCCTCGTTGAAGGAGGCGGCCTCCACGTGGAGGAGAGGATGGTGAAAGCCACCAGCGGGGTGCCAGCTGTGGGGTCACATGCCATGGGACACACAGCGTTGCACAGAAGGTGAAGCAAAGATGCGTGTGTGATGCTTGTTTTCCATATATTCAAATGGGAAAGAGGAAATTCCAATGAATTGCTCCAATTGTGTCAGAGTAACCTGGTAACTGGATACGGACTATAATTAAATGCTGTCTTTCAGAAGATAAATCATGCAGGAATTTAAAGGTGAAATTAATTATAAAGTGGAAGTTCTACGGTGATGCTGCTTTTTAAGGCATCTGTATGCCCACACACAGAAACACTCTGCTAATCATTGCAATTCCTTCCTTTACTCATTACAATCCCTGAAAGAGCAGACAATAAAATCCTTAATAAGGGGGGTCAGCCCAAATTAAAGCAGCAACGAAAACAGTCATGTGGCATCAAAAAAACCTGATCTTAAAGCATTACCCTAATTGTGTGGGGTAAGTCATGGCCCTGACACTAGAGGGGGGGAAAGGGGGCTTAGAAAAAGATGCCAGCTTTATCATGTCCCACTTACTTGTGGAGGATGAACTAAATATATAAAAATAAATGATAATATAAATGCTACTTTTGCGCTGATCTTTATTACCTTTATCTTGCCAACTCTCGTACCATTTGGATAATTAATAAATGTTGCTGACATACAATTTTATAGTAACACATTGCCTTTCTTCATTTCAGCATCTCCACACCTCTGTAGATGTAAAAAAACGCTCCCAAAACAAGGAGGAGTATGATTTGTAAGTACCACATCTATTCCAGCTCCTGGTGTTAATGTGTTTGTTACTCATCATTGCAATCTGAGCCTGGAGAACACAGTATATTGTATTCTGCAGTATCGCCTACAATTAACTCTCCTGTATCAATAACTGCTTATAAAATGAGAAACTATGGAGCCACCAGCTGCAAGTGCAGTGGTGTAGTCACTTGCAAGTGCACCAATACTCACATTCCTTATTGTGAGATAAGCTTATCAGCCCTGCAATAGTTGAGTATCACCTTGCCTTTTTTGACGACAGAAAGTGGTAAGGCAGAGGAAGAGCAGAGAAGAAGGTTTTTGCTTTAAAAGTAAAAGAAATACCCACCGTTGCTGAGCAGGTTGTGTAGATAAAGCACACTTTTCTATTTCAGGAGGACACGTACAGTAGGGATTTGGGGTGTCCCCGAGGTGTCTGATGGTGGGATGTGAGCACTGAACAAGGCCCTGTCTGACCTGGGACAGAGCACGGGGGGTTCAACAAGAAGCTTGAAAGGAAATTTTTTTAAAAGTAGCCACAATTAGTCAACTGAAAGAGATATTGGTACAGTGAACTGCCCAGGCTGCGAGGAGGCCACGGGCTGGAGGGGCAATGTGGGGTGAGGACCCATGGAGCTGGAGACCGTGGTGGCATTCCTGTGGCCTGTGCTGGGACTTAATGGAGCGTTTCTGCCCCCCGTGCCCTGGCAGCCCCACGCGTGTGCCGAGGGCCATTCCAGAAATGCCAGGAGGTGGGAGGCTGGGGGTGGCAGCAGGTTTCTGGCCGCCTGCCCTGAGGTGTTTTCCCCGAAGCCTTGGTTTGGGCGCGGGGGTGTTGGTGGCAGTGCAGTGGGCCTTCACGTGTTGAGGGGGCAGGGGTGGGCTTTGGGGCCACGCTGTGGTGGTGGTGTCGGTGCCCCACACCCTCACACCTCACACCCGAGGATGGAGGGCGAGCAGAAGGTGCTGGTCAGCCCTGGGCATCCATCACCCCGGGGAGTCCCGGCCATGGGTGCCTGGGCCGGATTGCTGGGAGGGGAGAGGTGATTTTACAGCCCCGTGCGCTGTTTGCGCTAATTCTGCCTAAAATAGAGAAAACCAAAAGCAGCCGGGCAGGGGCCGGGGGGGTCGGTGGGGCCGGGTCTCCCCCCCCGGGGTGCACCCTGCTGCCGCCCCCGGGGCAGGGGGCCCTGCAGGGCGGCGGGGCGGCCCGTCCCACCCCGGGGGCGGCGGGCAGGAAGCGAGGAGGCCGGGGCCGGTACCTGTCCCGGGCCCGGCCGGGTTTCATCACCGGGCAGCGGCGGCCCCGCCTCTCCCGCCGCCCCATAAAGGTGCGGGGCGGTGCGGCCGGCAGCCACATCGCTCCCGTCCGCCGCCGCCTTCCCCGCTCCTCCGCCGCCGCTCCCCGGGGACGCCAGGGCGATGGACGCCGGCTGTCTGCGGGCCCGCAGCCTGCTGCTCTTCCTCGGTGAGTGCCCGGGCCGGGCCGGGCCGAGCCGCTGGGCACCGCTCCGACGGCTCCTCTGCCCCCCGCCACGGGCAGCGACGGGAGGGGACCGGGCGCCCGGTGGCGGG